AAATGAATCCAGTTCAATTTTTGAAATTTAAAAAAGAACTGTGTAGTTACACACAGCTCCTTTGCATATTTCTACAAATGTAAAATAATTAATAAAACAGCAGAAAAGGAATTAATTCAAACGATTCATTATCATCAGACTTATATAAAATTTGATTTTATTTATGTTAGTTCGTTCGCACGAACTCAAGCATTTTATTTTTGTATCAAAATATTTGTTTTGCCGGTAAAAATGCTAAAACTTATACTTTAAACTAGAATAGAGCGGGCAATTCTTTCATGTTTTTAATACAAAAGAAAGCATTAAAATATCGGGTGTGCTAAAAAACTAAAATTTATTTCAAATAACACTAGTTTACAACGATTTTGCTCGTGATATAAAACCTATATGGATTTCTTTGTTTAGGCCGTCTAAGTTCAGAAAAAATAAAATATTATGGGTCTTCCCCACAACACTATAGTAATAATTTTCATGTCACAAAAATACTGAAAATTCGGATGAAACCATCTTAAATCTTGGTGAATAGATGTCAGGTTTATCACTCATACTTCCAAGAGTTTTTCGAAAAAAAAAAAAAAAAATATATATATATATATATGAATGAGAATGTAAGAAATTAATTATCCAGATCCGTAAGTTTGTAATTTTGGAATAAAATGTCCAAAATTTTTTCAAAATTAATATTTTTAAATTAAAAAAAAACGTAACAAAAAAATTACTAAAAATCGGATAAAAAACAAAAAAGTAATAAAAAGTGGGTTAAGAAAGTCCTAATTTTTATTTTATTGATTTTTATGGGGGATAAATCTAGATCCGTAAGTTTGTAATTCTGGAATGAAATGTACAAAATATTTTCGATATTAACTTTTTTTTTAATTTTTTGACAAACGTAACAAAAAATTCTAAATATCGGGTAAAAAATAAATAAAAAACTTTTTAATATGAATGTGTGTAAATGTAATGTGCGTAAAAGTGTGTAATATATGTACATTAGATAAATTATTAATTTTAAGACAGAGAGAAAATTACGTTATTCTGTCCATTAGTTAATTTTATACATATATATACACATGTATAATTAAATAACATTATTATAAATATTTTAGAATTTCTGTCTGCCTTTTAAATTTATTAAATTAAAATTTAAATTGTAAATATGGGATTTATTAAAATATTTGTAATAAATGTTTGCGAAATTACATCATGTAGTAAATCTCAGCAGGAATTTGAGATTGTTGGTTGTTAAAAATGTATTCAATATTTATACATTCATAAATAGGATGAGAAACTTGTTGTAAAATAAATCAAATTTTGAAATTATTGTTTATAAATGTAACAATTTTATTATAAAATCTAACAAGTTTCAAACTGCACGCTTGTCAAGAGATATTTGGTAGAGAACTAAAGGTCTGAGGAGACATATGTACATAATTGATGCAATGAATTCTGGGAGACAACACATGTTCCCATCGAAAATGAAACTTCTAAGATTCTTAGAATATTTGGTGACCTGGATCATATGATAAAAATGTATTATTTTTAAAGAGTTTTTAATTTATTTTTCATAACAAAGGAATGTTATGAAATTTTGATATCATATGAAAATTCTTTGGGAGGAGCTTTCAATGGCGCATCAGTTCAAAAAAATGGAAGACATGAGTTAATAAAGTAAACAACAACAATTCTGTAAATATTTCAAATTAACTGAAATATTGATTATTTTTAATTTAATTTTTACCTTAATTCAGAAATATTTTTGTTAACAAAAAAAAAAAAACGATTTTCTAAATGAGGAGTTATATGTAGGCAGGGGGTTAATATGGCGCTATCCTTATAAATTTTGGAAGGGGGATTTAGGTTAGGTTAGTTATTTATGCAGAATATAATCATGATATTAGTGTTTATAAGTGAATTTTGACCATCAAGTAATTTTTTGAAGAGAATTTCAAATGAGGCCCGATCATTATGAAGATCAGAAGTATTATTAAGACTTATATAAAACTAAGTTTTGCGGACTTTTGAAGTGATACGAGAACATTTAACATATTTATGAGCTCAAAAGCTATATTCGGGGGCACGGATATACGAAATAATGGACCGATTTTAACCATTTCCTTGGGTTAAAAGAAGAGTATGTGCCAAATTTCATCAAATTATCTTGAAAATTGCGACACAGACAGACGGACGGACATAGCTAAATCGACTCAGAAAGTGATTTTGAGCCGATTGGTATACTTTGAGGTGGGTGTTACAAACATCAGCAAAAACACATAATACTCTCCCCACTATAGCGGTGTAGGGTATACAAATGCTATATTGAAGGCGCCTTTGCATTCATATGATATCAAAATTGCATACATTTCATTTACAAGAAATACGAAAAAATTATGAAAACCTTCAAAAAGGACCTTTTTATCAAAATATTTTCTTCAGTACCAACATTTATAATATTTTATTTAAATAAATGGAAAACAGGTATACAGTTTTATAATGTTATTTTGAAGCATGTCATTGCTGACCAGTGTAATCATACAAAAACAATTGTGAAATAACATGAAGATAATTTTGTAATCGAAAGTTTGTTAATTTATCTTTTGCAATACAATTACAAATTGTAAAGATTGGAAATAATTTAAAGATATTTTTGTAATAGTTCGAGTTCTAGTGATGATTGAAGAACTGACAACTAACTGTTTTTTTTAAAGAATTCAAATTACACGTGTAAACAATTTTCATATAAATAATTTTATCACAGCTTCTCAACAAACTTTTAATCACAATTTAAATTTTAATTTGTATAAATTCAAATTTTGATTCGACTCTAAGTAAATAACAGTTTTTTTACGTATTTTAACTCAGTATTCCCCAACTGCAGATTCGTCTTAAGTATTTCATTTTATTTGATTAATAATTTCAATAATTGTAATTTTAATTAATTGTTCGTTTGCTTTATTTTAGTTATAGATTTTTCTCAATAATATTTATAAAAAGTTATGATTTTTGTTTTTACTGTAAGTATGTATGTACAATGTACATATTTTTATTTTGTATATTTTTTAATAATTACTGGTTGAACTCTAAATTGTTGTTTTACTTCAACTATACTGTGAAAATCGTTGTGAATTGTTTAATTATTTATTTGTTCAATTGTTTTTTAATCTTTAAAATGTATATATAATGTCTGTTTATTTATTTTTTTGCTTTTTATTGAATTAAAATAAATAATAGTGTTTTTAAAGTGTAAAACTTTCTTTTATGAATTTATGCTTTTCTTTTTAAAGCCAAAAGCTGGTTTATTTTTTATAATTTTAGTATTTACTTTGATTTTTTGTTGTTGTTTTTGTTAATATTCTAATATTTAATTTATATTTTTAATAACTTATTTAAGTCTTTTGCTGTGTATTTTGTTATTATTTTTTATCATTTTTAGTATAATAAAATATGATTTTGTTTTTAGGTATAATTTAATTATTTATTATATAATTTACAATATTATAATGTATAATATTTGTTTTTTTAATAAAAATTTATCTTTATACATATGCTTATATTTGGTGTCTTTTCTTGTATTTGAGTTTATTTTTATTAGTTAAATCTACTGGTATTTAAAAATAAATTGTAAAGACTACTGACTAGAATTCCTTTTTTTATTTATTATTATTAATGTGTTTAATTTTTTTAATATACTGCTTATTTATTTAATTTTTAAAATATTTTATTGTGGTCTACAACTAAAAAAAATTAATGAAATGCAGAGAATAAATTTTTAGAAGAATTTTTGGAATTTTGTAATTAGAATTTTCAATTTTTTATGTGAAATAATTTTTGAAAATTTATTTAACATATTTGAATTTTGTTTGAACAATTAGCGAGTTTTTTTCTATTTTAACGTTTATTAAAATAAACTGATTAAAATGGGCTCTTGTACATGACCGATTTAATTTATTATCTACATTAATAATTAAAAACTCTATTTTATTACTTTCAATTTTATTTCTTTGTTAGTTTTGAAGTTTTTTTTTCTTGTAATTGGGTTTGAAATGGAAGTATAGTTAAAGGTACTAGTTATTTTAAAATGTAATTGTTTTATTTGTAATAATTATATGGGTTGTTTTAAGTTTAAAATTTTAATTATTACTTCAAAAAAGAATAATAATATTTCGATTAGTTATTTCACCTTTTTTATTTGTTTAATAAGTTGTAAATAAAATATAAAAAACAATGGATAAAATGATAATAATAAGAATTCTTTAGTAAGTAATTATTGTATAAATTTTAAATTGTTTATTAAAAAATTTTTAATTGTTTTTATATGGATATATATATTAAATATGAGTATATATAAATATTAATATTAATTATTTATTATTGTTTATTACATTTTGTTTTACATTAATTATTTTTATGTTTAATTATTTTAATTCGATCACAAAACTGTTACTGCTAATCTCAATTTAGTTTATTTCCTTTTAATTATTTTTTCCACTAAATGTGTTTTTTTTATTTTCTTCTCTAAATTGTTCTTATTTTAATGTAAAATGTAGTATATTTTATTATATCTGCATTTTTATGGCATCTACTGATTTTAACTTTGTGTATATTGTTTAATTTTCAACTTAAAAAAATTAAATTTTTCCTAATTAATGCTTAATTAATATGTATATGTATAACTATATGTACATATACATACATATGTATGTATGTACATGTATGTACGTATTAATAATTTAATAAATATTTTTATTGTAAGATTAGTTGCTATATGTATATTGAATTTTGTTTAATTTTAAGTCGTTGTCGTTGTTTTTGTAATGAAAGTTCAAATGTTTTCAATTCAAAACATGAACATGTTTTTTGAAAATAAATAAAAAAAATTACAAATTAATTGACAAATATAATTTTTATGGTAAACAATTTTACATAAATAATTTATTTGCTTTTTGTTTTATTTAATATATTATATTAATTCACATTTGTTTAATTGCCAAAGGTTTCAAGAGTTTTCTTTTCTTAAAAGAAAAATTGCTTTTAGTTACAGTTTTTTTAATTTAATACAAAATTTTATTCAAATGTTGTAGGTAATTTCACATTTACATTTAAAAGCTTTTTAACGACAATTTAAAATATTTTAAATTAAAAATATTATGATTATGACAATATCTAAAGAAATAGGCATATGTACATATATGTACCCAGCAAAAATTTACATTGAAATGTAAAGGGTTAAAATGCTAAAATTTTCTCACACATTGAGTTTTTAGTCATTACGTTAACAGAGTGATGACAAATGGGTAGTTATTTAATTACTTACTACGATCGTCTGCAAATAAGAAGATAAATAAGTAGTTTTGTTTTTGACCAAAAATAGCGTTCATTAAAAAAATTAATATTTTTTGATGAACGCTTTTCAAAAATTGTGTCATTAAAATTAGAGTTTCTTAACATTTTAACCAAAGAAAATTATCTATCCAACGAACCTTAATATTGAAGGTTTAACAACAAAGTTATTGACAATTTTCCGCCAGTAAATTTTCTAAATACCATGCTATTACTGATGTTATCGCCATAAATGAAAATTTTATTCATTCAAAGGTACCATATCTCAAATTTATTGTTTAGGTATGTTTGTTATTATTTAGAAGGTCCTCGAAAAGCGCTTTCAATGTCATATCAAACATTTGAATTTCGAAAAACGAAAATACCGCCTCGCTTACATTTAAGGAGGTTTATGATATGGGCAAATTCGTGTCAAATGACCCAACTCAAAAAATCGATTTGAATGAAATTTACCCCAAGGTTAGTACTATTAGATAGTAGGCCAGACATAAATTTTCAGCTGTATCGGTTGGCCATTTTGGTCATACAGGGTTGCCTGGCGTACTATCCAATAGTGCTGCATATTTCACTCAAATCGGAAGACATCGATTTTAAAACTTGGGTCACTTGACATGAAATTGGCCAAATATTAATTTTAATTACTTTTGAAAGCGTGATTTTCTTTGCAAATATGAAATTTCTACAACACTTTTCTAAACTCAATAAATTTTAAAATATTAACGTATTTCATTTTGTCCAATAAATAGATAAAATATTATTTTGAAATAACTATTTAAATGAATTTGTATTTGTAAGTTTAGGATAATATTGTTCTCTTTTGTTTGTGTCTTAAATCGAAATATCTTAAATGTAAAGTGTAAGTAAATTTATATTTTAATTAATTAATTTTAAATTATACAATTAGTATTGTCCTTTTGATATGTTTTTTTTTTTAATTTTAAAATTGTATTTTTTATCGCTAAAAAGACTACTATTTTTTTAATTTTAATATAATTATACATATAAGTATATAATTGAAAGTTTATAATTGAAAATTGTTGTTTTTTAAGATTTTGTGGTAATATTAAATTTAAGATTACTTTTTCTAGAATATAATTTTTGTTTTTAAAACTATTTCATTTAATTGCTATTGCAAAATGTTTTTTTTTGGATTTCTTTAGTTAATTTGTTTAATTTTATTGAAAATTTTGTTTGATTAAAGTAATAAGCCGCATTTAGATTTAGAGTCTTAGTCTGGAGAAATTCTGTTGAAATTTATTTAAGGATCAATAACAATGATTTGATTTTATTTGGTAACTGTTTCCTTTTTAATACGAGTATAAATTTCTATATTATTTATGGACGTTATATTTTACTATTTATTTCAATTTTTCTTTTTTTTAATGTTCAACAATTTCGTTTAACTTTTTACTTTCGAATCACTTAAAATAACTAGCTTTTATATTTTGTTGTGGCTCTATTTTTTTTTTTATTTTTTTTTTTATCATTGTTGTTACTACTTTGGACCCTATTAGAGTTTAAAAATTACTGTGACTGCGACCGGTGAATGAACAAACCTACATACATATATGATGCTACTTTCGTTTGTATGTAAATTGTTTAAATCAGTTATGAATAACTAAATAAAATATTTTTTGTGCATTGCTAATTATTTATAATAATATAATCTCTATATTTACTTAGGTGTTATTAAACTATTTTGAGCTGTTTTTTTTTTGTTGTTTTGTTTGGTATTCAATTAAACTTTAGTTTGTATGTTATTCTTTCTTAAAGGTAAAATTAGATAAATTATATTATTATAATATATAAGGATGATATAAAGTAAGTAACATAATATATAATAGTATTTAAATTTTAGAAAAAAAAAACATTTTATTGATGATGCATGTAATTTGGAAATGTAGACAAAATTTTTAAATATTTTAGATTTTTTTAAAGGCATTATTATTTGAAGAATTTGGATGAAACATTAAGGAAATATCTGATTGGGTCTTCAGATGTTATGTCTTTTGATTAGTATTAATAAATACGGTTAAATGATATAGGATTGATTAAATCAATCATTTATCCATATAAAACAAAAGATGAAAACTTAACTTAGTATACCTTAAATAAAGTTCAAATTGATTAAATAAGCGTGATCACTAAAGATATTTTCTTTTCATTTTTAACCAATGAATTTTTAAATTAACATTTACAGACGAATCATTGCGTCTATTTTGTTAAACATTTCAACAATCTAATCATAATTGTAATGTTTATTTTGCTTTAATTATTACGTTTGCTTTCGCTGGTACTTTATCTCAAGGTTTAAAGTCCTTTTTATTTTATATTAAATATATTTTATGGTTACTATTTTTTATAATTTTATATCTTTAGTATAAATATTTGATTTTAAATAAATTAATATATTTATATACATATATATTTAATTAGATTTTTTATAATAATAATTTTGTATAAATAGAATTTCTACTTATGTTCCATAATATTCGTTGCATGGGATTTTTACTTTAAGTTGGTTTTAGCCGATTTAGCTTTGGATTTTTTAATTACATATCTAAAATTTCCTTATTAAAAAATTTTAATTAATATTTTATTGTAAATAAATGTATGTTTTTGTATAAATAAAAAATTGCTTTGCATAATTCTTTTTTAATGCTATAAAAGAGTTTTTCCTGGGCTGAAGCCAGCGTTTACTTTTTTAAACAAATCAGAAAATTGTTTAACAATATAATATTTGTTTATTTATGTATGTACTATTATATAATATATTTAAGTTCTTTTGTTTATAAAAATTTACACATTCTTAAGTGGGTCATTGATTTAGTTTTAGCTTATAAGTATTTTTTAATTTAGGTAAGATACAAATCAAAATTGCCATCATGTTCCCTTCTCTTTAATTTTAATTCCAGATTTATTAAAAAATCTTAAATCGACATTATTTTTTTTTTTCTAAAATTACTGAACTAACATTATTGACAATTTTCATATGATTTCTTTAAAATTTAAATATTAATATGTATTTTGTATGGGGCAATTGGAAATCATGGACCGATTTTAGCGATCGGAATGGAATTCAGTAAAATGCGTGACAAAAAACGGAAGTGTTTTTAAGTACATTTAAAAAATACGAAAAGGAGCGAAATGTGTAGGTGTTTAATTTTTATTTTAATGTCTTACACTATTTTTCCTTCATAATCCATAATGGACCGATTTTAACACCATTTGTCTTTAGAGTAACAAAAGATCATTCACTAAATTTTGTTGAATTATCTTCACAAATGCAACGTTTTAGAGGTTTTAATTTTTCAGTCGTGGTTTACATTTTCTTGGAATTGCCCATATATAAAAACAAAATAAAATTGTATTTCGTAAAAACTAAAAATAATTTTTACCATGTTCTAATGATATATAATAGTCGAAAACGTTCTTTCTTTAAAAATGATGAAGGTTATTATGTATTAAAAATTTTATAAATTTCCCGGGAATGAAAAAAGTCCGGGAAATTAGAAACTATATACACAAGTCTTATAAAAACACAAAAAATACAACTGTCGTTTCATACCGATTTGGTAAAACACAGACAGTTGTTCTTAATGTATTGCAATCTAAAGATCGAAAGATTTAAATAGTTGAGAACACGATGAATTGATGGAGATGATGACAAGGATTAATTTGTATCTTCTTTCTTTATTGTTTAATAAAAATTATATTTTCTTTATATTTCCATAGACCCATGTACAATGTAATTAACTCTAAATCTAAAAACTTTTTTTAAGTGTTATTTAATTGAAATTTTTGTAGGGTTTTAGATTCTTATTTTTTCTCTTTAAACTAAGTGTTTTATTTACTTACCATTAGTGTTTACAACTGTTTATGCTACAATAATATCTTCATCATTTTCTTCTCCTGATTCCATGGACTCGACACTACCACTCAAACTATCATGAATTCTGTTATATGTTTCACCTTCCTCCATGCCTTCGGTGTCCTCATCTCCATGGTGTCCAGCATCTTTGATGCAAGCCGATTCTAAATGTTTGTTTAAATAAGACTTTAAGGCAAATGACTTGTGACATCGTTTACATTCGAAATTTTTATCAACCGAATGAGTCATCATATGTGCTCGTAAATTGGAACGGTCAGCAAAGGCTTTGCCGCAATGAACACAAGCATAGGGTTTCTCGCCAGTATGAGAACGTAAGTGACCTTGAAGTAGCCAAGGTCTTGAGAACAATTTACCGCATATATCACAGCTGTGTGAAAGTTTGTGAGTCAACAAATGCATGGCTAAAGCAGGCATTGAGACGTAAGCCTTACCGCAGGTATTACATTTCTTGGCAGACTGGGAGTCGAGAGATCTGTGAGTTTGCTTGTGACGTGACAGATTACTGGAGGTGGCATATTGTTTACCACACTCCGAACATTTATAGCAACCGCGTTTCGGTTTCTTAGTCGTTTCCAATTTACTATTTTGTTCCCCTTTTTTCTTGCAGGCCTTTGTGCGACCATCCACGATGTTAAGAGAGATTTTTAAATCATTTTTTGCAGATGCATCTGATAATTCGGTACGCCAGATTTGCAATGGTGGATGGGAATTAGAGTGGCCGGATTCCGATGAGGAAGACATATCAATATCAATATCCGACGAATGATCGGAATTGGGCGGTGTCAACGGTGAACAATTGTTGGAATTACTCACACCACTGTGGTGGTTCTGATGATGGTGATGGATGTGATGATTGTTGAGGTTCATTTGATGCTGCTGCAGTTGAGAGTCATACGAACTGATATAGCGAATTTTAGAAGTAGTATTATGATGGGGATTTTGGTCTGTTTCAATATACACATTTAAATTATCGGGTTGTATAATACCGGCACAGTGTATTGGTTGTTGTAATTGTCTGGAAGAACTTGATATCTCTTGCATTTGCGATTTATGAGTGTTCAGCGTACCATTTGGAGTGGATATTGAATGCGATGATGCTGATGACGTGGAGGTGGCATTTGAATCTTGTTGCAAGATTGTTACAACACAGGGAGGTGTTAGGGGTGGTAAGCTCTGCGACAGCGATAACAAATCATGAGCTGCTTCAGTTTCCTCAATGCTTCGCTCGCGATAGACTAGTGCTGGTATTGTAGAGGCGTTCTCAAATTTAACAACTGTTTTATGGTTGGTGTTGTTAGTACGCTGAACATTTGAGTTTATACCACCAGCTGGCGGTGCATAAAATATAACTTTACCATCTTCAGTGGGACTACGTCCGAAATATTTGCCATAATCTTTTCCCGTTTTAACATCAACAGTTTGGTCAATATTTGCATCTGAAAATATATGAAAAGAAACAGGGCTTTGTTATTATAAAATTTCAAGGATAATAAAATAAAACAATAATAAAAGTTTTATAAGGATATTTTGTATATATGTTTATTCTTATGAAATAAAACGAAATGCTACATGTAATTAGTGAAATGGTTCCCTTTTGTTTGATACCCATATTGTCATAACAGTCACCCTGTTTAATAAAACGTTTTGAAAATTTTATGTACCTCAAATCAGTCAAACGATCAGAAAATGAATAAGTAAGAGTGTTATATTCGGCTATGCCGAATCTTATATACCCACCACCAAATCATAAGCTGTAAAATTGACATTAATTTTGGATGGTGGTCCTATTTATGGGTGTTTATAAATTGATTATTTTGTTATTTGTTGTAATGATTTTATTATCACATGTGTATCGTCGATACTTTATAAAAATCAGTGGGATTTTCGGAATAGGGAGGGCTTGGATCAATTTTGGACAAAACTCTTCCAATTTTTAAAGGACCTGTACTATATGAAGGTATCCTTTTCTCATTTGTAACTACAATTTACTTATCAATTAGATTTATTATAAATTTTATTATCTTATACATATGAACAGATTTTTGAATGATTGATTATCTCTAAAAAGAGTTATATAGAAAGTATGGTCAATTGATGACCAATACTCATATAATTTTATAAATGAATTTTGTACCAATATTGCGCATTTTCAATACCAAACAAACTGCATGAACTAGAAATACATGTCGATACCCTATATTCATAAAGTCAATAAAGTCTAGTTGTCAGGGGAGCAAAAAAACTATATAATTTGTGAAATATTGCACAAAAATACAATGTTTCTTCCATAATACGATTTTAACATCCTTACTAATTCCTAACTATGAAAAAATTTTAATATTTTGCACATTTTAGCGATTTATTTAAGATAGCACTTTTTGGTCGACAAAAAAACAAATATTTATTCTAAGTTAGCATGTTTTGTTCAAAGAATAGAACAAAAATTTCTCGTAATAATATGCGTTATTTTATAATTTTATGAAATAAATTTTGTAAGGGATATAAGTCAAACTAGGAAGTCCAATAAGATGCATTTACACCATTTAAGTAGAAAAACTCATGGTATATCTGCTCGTTTATTATTCCTTATTCTCAGTATGTACAAATATTTTAAATTATGAAAAGTTTTAGAATATAAAAAGTACCAATAGTTTTTGAATAATACTCCATTATTTGCACATTTAAAGACTTTTTTATAATCAAAATTCTAAATTGGAACCAAAGAATATTATAGATCTTAGTGTTATAAACGATTTGTAAAATAACTATATAATAAATAAATTTTTTTGAAAAAACATTATTTAAAGTCTAAAACTGGCTATATATATAAATGATTATATCTTCAAAACTATACATTCAATTTATTAATCTTGTTAATAGTCAATATATATAATATACAAAATAAATTTTAAATAAATTTGAAGTTTTAAAAAAAACTTGTAAAATTTGTATGGAAGTTAGCACTTATTATCTTCAATAAAAATTTAACTTTGAGATAGCGTTTTAACAAAAATTGTTTTTAAAAGTGCAAAAATTACTTTTTTGGTTTCAAACTTATACCAGACGTGGAACATGCATTGAGGCATCCTTTGCCATAAAAAACTCAATTTTCCTAAAATTGAGTTCGCACTTTTTAAGGGTGACAATGTACAAAATTTCAGCTAGCTAACTACTTCAGTTTGGGATCTATCGTGAGCTAGATCGTCTTAGAATCTAATAAGGAATATATATACTTGTTTGTGTCTTAGATGAATATTTCGATGTGTTACAAACGGAATGACAAAAACAATATAACCCTCATCTTTTTTGCTGGTGGGTATAAAAACTGAGTAAGCAGTTATACCATATATGTATGTAAATTACGAGTTTTCGTATGTACATATTATGTATATGGTTTGGTGTGTGAATAATATTTGTAATCGAATCAGTTATATATGTATCAAAATTCACCTGTTTTGAACTGAGGGCTACAAAACTGGTGTCAAGTGTGTCTATTATTTTTTGCTGTAAACGTAAAAACTAAAACTCATCTCGAATTAAATATAATAAAAAATTAAATTCCAATTCAGATGACAAACATATACTATCTGAATCTGGTTTTATTTTCCAAATCCTTTGATTTTTTAAAAGTTATTTAAAAAATAGTAAAATGTCATTAAACATTCAAACAAGTAGAAAAGGGCGTGGCCGACCATATCATAACCTACACCAGTTAAATAAATAAAATGTGATTTATCATAAATTTTTTTGCATGGATCTACGTTTACATAAAATGTAGAGTCCGACCGAACTCAAAATTTCATTCGGTACCGAACCCGAACTTCGGTAAATTTGAAAGTTCGGCCGAACCCGAACTTTGTTCGGTTTTCAAAGTTCGGTGAACACGAATTTTTTTTAAATGAAAAATAATACTTTATTTTTGGTTTTTAAACGATTAATTGACAATGATATAATTATCTGTAAGAGCACGATGAGAAAAAACATGGTTGTGATAACAATGTTCTAAGAGCAACATATTATGATTATTGTAACAATTTTAAAATATCATATGATTAAATAACGTCAAAATATTTCATCATGATATTTTTGTATTTATCATAATATTGTTATACATGATATTATGATCTAATGTGATCAAAATTTCGTTTTAAATATGTATCGAAATCAAAATGAATTTTATGGAATCAGTAAAATTAGTTTTTAAAAAAATAAAAAATATATATACAATACTTAACACAATTCGCAAATTTCAATTTGCCAATTTATATTTCATAAAAATACTAAAATTTTTAAGCCTGTTATGAACGTTAGTAATTTTCTAAAGCGAACATTATATGGAGGCCATGTCCAAATGTAAACCGATTTTGTCCATTTTGAATACCAATCAAACTGCAACAATAGTTTAGGTCCTATCGTTCTTTCAAGAGACTGACTGACTGACAGATATGTCTAGATCGTTTGAGAATAAGAACCTAGAAAATTTCGATGTTACAAATGAAATCAAAGATTTATAATCGAAACTAGATAATTCAAATTAAAAGTTTCACTTTTCTTAGCTTTTTAATCAGTTTCTGGTTAATAGTTTTTCAAATCAGCCGAAAAAACGAACGGTTAAAAAGGCGTTTTGTACCTATGTATATCCGTAATTTATTATACAGCCAGGATGTATGATAACTTCTGTAAACAGATTTTCAGCATTTTTAAAACTTTTTGATGATATAAAAATATGATAAAAAAACATTTTATAAAAAGTTCGGCGTTCGGTCAAAATTTCACCGAACACCGAACATTGACCGAACCTCACTTTTTACCGAACTCCGAACCCGTACCCGAACGTTCGGTCGGATGTATTATGTGGACATTTAACTCATTTTCTGAAGGGGTCAGTAGCAAAGACTAAGAAAAGGAAGATACAGTCTTCCAAGTTCTCCTCGAATGCCCTGCTCTAGCCCCCAAGAGAAACAGATTAAAAAACTATAATTGAAAAAAATACTCTCAAAATTTTTTGACATAAGAAATTGCCTAATTCTTCATTCCATAATTGTGACCCGTAGTTTAATTTTTATGGCAATGATACTATATTGTATTAAAAATAAATTTGGTTTGAAACTCGTATGTATTTCTATTTAAAGTTTTGTAGGAGTTTTTGTTTGCCTTATTTATTTTAATGGCTAGTTTTCACACTGGTACTGGCCTGCATTATCCTTAAGGGCAATTTCTGCTTTCTATGTATATCCGTTTAGTACACTTTATTGAATATAAATACATTTTGGTCATTATGTTTAACAAGTTGTATTTACAAAAAAAAAAAAAAACGAAAACAAATAACAACCTAGCAAAAACTTTAATCTTCATGTAAGGGGATAAATTAATAACTGACAAATGTAGAACTTATACTTAACATCGCTACTAAATTTTATTTCTTAATATTTCTAGCTCATATTTTTGCTGGTTTCCTCTTTTTGCGAATTTCATTTAATTTTTTGACACTGTAATAACGAAAAACAAGTAAGGAAGTATAGTCGGGTGTGACCGACCATATGATACCCTACACCAGTTATGAATATTAAATGTGATTTATTTTTCATAATAAAGCATTTATCTTCTATTACCTTGTTCCGATACATTTAAGCAATTTATGGATGAAAAACTAATTTTCTGAAAGAGGCTTTATAGGGGGGCTAGGGGCAAATATGGACCAAGCCCGATAAAATTTTGTAAATATATTTATATTTACATAATATTTTATTGTGCATTCAAGTAATTTTCTAAAGGGGACTTTGTATGGGAGCTAGGGTCAAATGAAGCCCGATCTCTATGAAATTTAGCAAAGTCATCAAGGCTTGTCCTTGGGCCGAAAATAGAGTGTGTGCCAAATTTCATCCAATTATCTTGAAAATTGCGACCTGTACCTTGCGCACAAGGTTTACATGGAGAGCCAGCCAGACGAACGGACGGACAGACGGACATAGCTTAATCGACTCAGAAAACGATTCTAAGCCGATTGGTATACTTTAAGGTGGGTATAGGACGAATATTTTGTATGTTACAAACATCAGCACAAACCCAATATGCCCTCCTCACTAAAGTGGTGTAGGGTATAACAACAAATTTGCTGATACCGAAATTTCACACACACTATATGTAGGTGACCAAAAAAATATCGATTTTGTTTGGATGGGCCTTATTTTGCACAGTATTGTCTGAAACTAACTGGTCCAATCGGATAATAGGACTTTTTGATTTTTTTCAAAAACAATGTATTTGAAAGTAAATCGTTTAAACTTTCGAGCAAATCTTATCTTCTAAAGTAAATTATCTTTTTAACGTAGCATAACATTAATATTTAAGAACAGATAACAAAGTTATAGACATTTTCTCTCGACGCATTTTTAACAAAAATGATTGAAAAATACAACATTTACTCGCAAGTTTG